ATGATGACGATGATTAATGCTAGACAAAAATGACACAAAATTGTTACTATACTGAAACTACATAAAATTATTTTTATACTAAAATTATAATAAGCTTTTATAATTGTCTAATAGTGTTTTTGCTAGTCTATCAGTTGTTTTTGTATTCTCTTGTTTAATTATTTCTAGAAACAAACCAAAATCTTCTCCATCCTCTCTAATGGATGTTTTAACTAAACTAAGCAGCTCGTCCATTCTTTGATTAGCAGTCAATCCACAGCTTTGATCAGTAATGTGATTCTTCTGCTTTTCATTTATTATCCTCTTCTCCAGTAGCCTATCTACCAATGAACATGTATTTAGATCAAGCCTTTCCTTTATCATTCCAGTACATTCTGTCATTACTCTATGAGCAATATCAGATCTAAATGTACCTATTAATGATACAAATTCAGTGATTAGTGTGTTATTATGTTAATATCAACCATACCTTCTTCAGTCTCTCTCCTGGTTTGACTGATACTAGCAGTAGAGGAGCTTGAGCTAGTATCTTGTACTGTTGAAGGAGGAGCAGTTCTCAGTGATCGATGAATGAATAATGTAACAGGATCAGCCACTCCATCCAGTGGTACAGAGTAATGTAGTGATGGTACAGCACCAGGTGATCCATAGACTGATACCAGACAACATGGAGGAAGAGGATAATTAGCTTCACCAAAATTATCAACATCACAACGACGCAACTACATTAAACACATTTAATGTAAGTGTACATTGTATTTACTTCTGTAGAAAATACTTACTTTACAAGGTTTGATGTGAGGCTTAATGGTCCAACCAGTAAATGGTTCATCTTGTGGACTCTTTAAATTCAATTCAAGATGACTAGTTTTTGGCTTAAAACAAAAATAGACATACTGTCCCAACTTAGCACGAGAATGCTTTTTATCAACATACTATACAACAAGTATATAGATGAATGAATTAAGTTTGATACATTTACCTCAAGGAGAGCACTTAGTTTTTTAGCTGCAGTGAACGTCACCAAATCCTCTACTCCATCTTCCTCATAATAAACCAGTCCAGCATATGTTTCAGCATCTTTCACTCCAGTGGGTTTCACTGAAATAATAAACACAGTTAAGATCCTCCAGTACATTATATACTCACTAGTATCATCAGGACTAGCAGTTGTTCCTCTTTCTTGTTGTTCCTCTTGTCCTCCTTGTACACCTTCTCCTTGTTGATGTGGTTCTTGTGCTCCTTGTTCCAGTATTAGTTGCTGTGAATGCTGCCCCTCTTGTCCTTGATCCAATGGCCCATCATGTTCCTCCTCCTCATGTTCTCCTTCAATATGCACCTCATGCTGTGTCTGTCCAGCCTGTCCTTCTAATTGTTGCTGGTCCCCTCCTCCTCCTTCATTCGTTTGTTGACCTCCTCCTCCTCCACCAGCACCTCCTCCATTCCCTCCATGACACTTCTTCTTCTCCAATCCATGGAGCCACC